TGCATATACATTTTGATTAGTCTGACCTACGTATTGCTTTTACAGCCTTTACATGTAATGAGGTAAATTACATTACGCGTAGTACAATTAACATCATTGTGTAAATCAAAAGAACTACCTGTTATGCTGCTATTAAATGGGAACCAACAATTATATTGTTACAATGTGAACATCTACTTCGTAAACATTGGCTAGATAAAATGTGCGATCAAGTAAAGCACTTCTAATAAGATGATCTCGAATGTTTTAGACGTCTATATGCTAAAATAGGTTTGAACTTGTTATGTATAATTTTTAACGCTTACCTTATCAGACAAAAAAGTAATAGATCCCAATATTTATTTAAGATTTCACCAATATTAGGCAGAGATGTATTAAAACATACAGTAAAAGGTATTAATTGAACTAGTATTTTTAACGACAGGACTTAGAGCATCATTTTGGGACATGCCTTCAATTTTAGAAAACGCTTTCTCAATAATAGATTTAGGATAATTTCTATCAGAAAAATATCTATTTAACGTATCTAAAGACTGCTTAAAAGTACCGTCATCGGAAATGACACGTCTATAACGTTTAGCTTGACTAAACGGGATACCACAAGTTCAAACCTATTTTAGCATATAGACGTCCTAAAAACATTCGAGATCATCTTATTAGAAGTGCTTTACTTGATCGCACATTTTTATCTAGCCAATGTTTACGAAGTAGATGTTCACATTGTAACAATATAATTGTTGGTTCCCAATTTAATAGCAGCATAACAGGTAGTTTTTTGATTTACACAATGATGTTAATTGTACTACGCGTAATGTAATTTTACCTCATTACATGTAAAGCTGTAAAAAGCAAAATACGTAGTCAGACTAATCAAAATGTATCATGCAGAATGAATAAACATAGATTTGATATAAGAAATTGTGACGTTAATCCAGTTTCACATGTTGCGATCCATTTCGGATCAAAACGATAATAAGTGTTCATTGTCAGATTTTCATTTTTACCTATAGAAATTATAGACAACAACATGGACCGGTTATGTAAAGAATCTTTTTGGATTCATAAATTAAATACTATGATTCCAAATGGGACTAAATAATAAAGTATTGTTTGATTTATAATAGGTTACATGAATATTAATATGTTTGTCTATTATCTTATTTTTATTAACACTGTCTAATAGACATCTGTATCACTGTTGATCCATTTTAATTCATGTACCAGCTTTATTTATAGCATAAATATTTGTTTCTACATGTTATCATAGTTTTGCCGCTAAACGCCATAACGTTTTTCGCGCGTTTAACGCGTGTTAAGTTATGACGTCGCTTCCGGTAATTTTATTATGTTTTGCACTGATGAAGGCTTATAGCCGAAACGTTTGCAATTGAATTAAATTACTAAATGTTCGTGTTTGTGTGGCTTGTCTGATTATATATAAGTTTTGAAATTTGTTTTTTATTTCGATGAGGGAACGGTTCCCTCTTACGGGTAACCTTGCTCTAAATTTCTAAATTATTGCATTTTATACTATCAAATTGTTATGTCTATTTTGTTAAGGGGGAACGGTTTCACTTTAGAAAATGGGTAAGAGATAAGTTTTGAATTTTTTTTTATTTTGATGGGGGAATGGTTCCCTCCTACTTGTAACATGGCTCTTATTTCTTAATTATTGCATTTTATTTGATGAAATTGTTATATCGGTTTTTTTAAGTGGAAATGATTCCACTTTAGAAATGTGTTTTGATGTTTAATTAATTTTGAAGTTTATTTTATATTTTGATGGAGGAATGGTTCCCTCGTACTGGTAACATGACTATTATATCTTAATTATTGCATTTTATTTGATCAAATTGTTATATCTGTTTTTTAAAGGGGGAATGGTTCCACTTTAAAATATGTGTTAAAGATAAGTTTTGAAATTTACTTTTTATTTTGATGTGGGAATGGTTCCCATGTAAGCATAATGCATCTCTTATTACTAAAAAATTGCTTTTTATTTATCGAAACATGTTGTATTCTGTACATGGCTTTTGTTCTTCGGGGGAACGGTTCCCCCGAAAACATTTGCAAAAGAAACAAAAAATAAAATTTGGATGTTTATTTAAGCTGTTTGTCATTTACTTTTCACAAAACAATACCATTACTTTAGCTGAAAATAATGTAAAAATAGTGCCTTAAAAAGGGGAACGAGTGTATTTCCCCCTTTTAAAATATATCGAGTTTTATTTTAATTTTCTGTTTTATATACTTTTATGTACTTTTTCTCTTTTTTAACCTTATTATTTAAAATAATTCCATTTTAATGTTACATATTGGCTGAAATAAGAAGAAAGAAATCTGGAAAGACAGCAGTGAAAGTAAGGAAAGTATGTTTCACAGCATTGAAAAAAATATTTTTACAGATTATTATTTTATTACATCGACATTTCTCAATATTTCAGTTATAACTAAAAAAACAAATATTTAAACTTCTTTTTCATATTTCGTTTTATTTCTTTTTAATGTTTTCATTTAAGGAGAGTTTATGTATAAGCAATTATTTACATTTGGAATACCAAATAGTTTAGTTAAAACTAGAAAATTATTCAATGCCATTTTTTATTGATTTTTTTCCCTATTCTAAACCTATGAAAGCAAACTGTGCGGTTTCAGATAAAAGATAATTATCTACGTATGTTAGCCACAATTTGAGAACGTCATAAAAATATGCAAAACAAATTCCGAGCCTGAGTGATTTTAACATTGACTGATAGATAGTTTTTTTTTTCAAACGTGTTAATATTACATTTTAATAGTATATTGACCAGCTTATTTTGCCGAAATTGAACTTTGAAATTTATGGTCTTCGCCGAGCACTGTAATTTTAAAAGGAAACATTCGCTGAAAGAAGATAACGACAATAAGTAACAAGAATCAACAATAGGCAAAAAAAATCCTAATTCATTTGATCAACAATATTCAAGAATGATAGGAAACACTCCAACATATTCAATTTTGCGACAATTCACATGCCTTTTGTAGTGAGTTTTCAGGACGGTTTGGGCAAGTGGATCTGGTTCAAATTGATGTTTCAAATAACAAAGTGTCGTATACTATTAACTTTCATTTAGCAAGTACAACTGTAAGTCTGATAGCGGCAACTGATTCTAACCATGCGACCAGTACAATGCTGTCTGATCATGGTTTGCACTACAACATACTACTACATATTTTTAAACTTTCTATAAAAATATCAAATGATTAATTGTCCAGACTGAACGATTCTAGTTTACGTTACGGCTTATTAGAAATTGTTTGTGCTTCTACCTAGTTAAAATCATAATATAAAAATCTTATGAATTATTGCAATAATCTTAATAACTAATCTATTTTGGAAGAATTTTTAATTCGCTTTACTGCAATATAAGCCAATTCTTAAATTGTTTTAAGTTGGACTTAAATGAATGCATGTCACATTACAGCTGAAAATTATTAGAAAGGTGCATTATGGTGTTTAATCATTTGGCAATACAAATATCAAATCATTCCCTCAAACTAAAAATCAGCTGACGTAAACCAATATCCGTTTACTTCTCAGATTTGAATTTCTAATGTTTATGGATACATGTTTCTAACGTAATGCCGTTCCATTCCAGGCAATATCAATCTACATTAAATGTTATTATTATGTTATTTTTTTAATTTTTTTTCGGAATTAAGAGCTGCCGGATTATTTACTAGTATGGAATGTGAATGAATCGGGGATTAAAGCGTGTCCTATGATGCATATTAATACAGAGTTACTGTTTAATCAGACGAGACGATGTTCCCGTCGTGAAAGCTTATTTTCTTATGAAAAGATTTACACATGTTTCTATACGAAAAGGATTCTAATTACTCTGGTTTATGGATATTAAGCAGTGCATTTATTGAGTTAACTTTAATGATCCTACCGATATAGTTTGGTGTACAGACTGTTACATAAGTCGCATTTTTTTCATTGAATATGCATTGTTGCCCCAATACTATACTGGCGTCCTGTGTTCAAGACAATCGTAATTTCGCCATTTAATGAACATACGACAATGCAAGATTTGTTTATTCATTTCGCATCTTGACCCTTAAGCAATCAATCACACACGCGCGCACTTACACGGACACGCACGCGTGCACTCGCGCGCGCGCACAAACACACACGCGCAAATAAAACGAGCGTTTTAACCGGTTACTATCTATCCATGGCGTTTGCATAAATCTAAATATATATGTATTGGTAATTCAATGTGACTAAAATCAGATCCCTATCAGAAGTAAAGTCAAATTGATTTTGATATCAGATGAGAAACAAAGTTTCATGTTCTTTCTCTACGTTCGGCTAATATCGGTGACAGCACTCAGTTTTGCGTTGAAAGTTTTTCAGGTAAAATTCGCCATTTTCCAAGGAGGAGAAGTCAGCAGATCTCCAAATTTATGTGCTTAGCCTTTATGATCCGCTTTGTGATCCGCTGGAAATCGAAGTTATTAACTTGATTCGAGCAGGTTTTATTGATAATAATTATTATCGCCAATTTTTTAAGTTTCGAAACAAGATCCAATTTATTGTCGATTCGACTCATAACCTAACACTGTCCACATCGGCTAATATCAGATTTCACTAAAATTAATCATATATGAAGATGGTTTTTTATATTTTATCTTTACTTTTTGAATTCGGTCGCAGAACTACAGAGCTGGCTGGATGAAAGTAAATACTTGAAACCGCTGAAATCAATTTTATTCGATAAGTGGAATTTAAAACATATTTGCATTAAATTGATCTAGTTCTGTTGTAACAGCGTCAATATTCATATTCAAACATAAAATGTTTCTTAATTATTTCTAATTCAATATGATCTGTTATCAATTTTTCTCTTTGTCTGTGTTTCTAAATTTTGTAGAGCTACTGGTCGCTTTTAAGGGTCTAAGCTATTGCATGTTTAACTTTTCACATGTGTGTAAGAAAATAAAGCCCAACATACCCGCAGATCCCGTGATGAAAAATAGGCACGCCAGCAGCAAACAACTTGAATGCTGCAAAAATAATAAGACAATTTTAACCAACATGTATTAATAGCTGATAATCATTCTAACATTTTCCTTCTTACAAAACTTATAAAGTTTGCTTATCATTTCATAAAACGCAATTGATTTGAACTAAAAGTTGGAAAGTGATAGTATTTACAAAGAAAAAGTAGGATCAGGATCAAATATATCATAGTAATATTTATTTATAATAATAATATTATGCATAATAATAACAATTATTTTGCAGCATTTTGTATTTTTGTTGGACGTTCGTAGTATCTTAAAAAAGAAGAAAAAGAAATGACAGTCTATTTAATTAACATATTATTTATACTATATAATTACCGTACATGTGTATTTAGTATAGTTTAGTGTTCATTAGTAAGCATTTACACAATTAAATTGGTCAATGGTGGCAAACACGCAATTTTAGTGGGCCAGACACTAAGTTTAGTTAACATACAACTATTCGGATCAAATTATTATTTTGTAAAAGAATACAAAACAAATATATGGAACAGTTCGTTATATATAAAATTTGAAAAAACCTACCAATAAATTCCACATTGTTTTTTGTTCCGTGAAATTTGTACACAAACTAAAAATTAAATGTCAGTTCGCTGCCATTACGCACTTTTTGTCTGAATCTATTTTGAAAACCTGGAATTAATAAATCATTCATATAGCGCATTCAATTTAAGAATCGGCGAGCCTTGCATATTAAAACATTTATGATGTGCGTTATGCCTTGTTTATCCAATGTTTGTATCTTAGGAGACCATTAAAAATACTACAGCCGTGCTCAAATAAACAAATAATTTCAATATTTTCAATACTTTCTACTGTTTTTTATTGAACGTTTAAGTTTCGCAATGGTATAACTCGGCTATCCACCATAATTTTGAATTATGAATATTTCATGTGTTCAGTGTTTCACTTTAACAGCTTGTTATTGTATTCAATAGAAATCTATAGTAAAGTTTTACAGAAGTTTATTTACTTGTCATGTAGTCTCCATTTGTAGAATAATAGGAATTTACAATATAGACAAATAATGACGAGCAATCATTAAACTAGAAATGCTGACAATATTTTTCCACAATATAAAAAATCAAATTTTAAAACCTGGGCTAAGAGGGAAAGAAATATTATTGTCATTCTGCCAAATATTTTTGAGCATTTGTAAGTTTGCCAAGATGTGACTTTAGAACAGTCTATTCAAAGTCTAAATAATTAAAAAGAAAAAAAACAAAACAAACAAAAAACACCAGACATCGCTTTAGGTACCTCCAGGCTAAAAGGGGTAATATTAAACATCAGAGCTACAAAGTACTTAGTCTGGAGTTCATTTCCTTTACACTACGTACAACACTATAATAGTAAATGTACGCAGTGAACCAGACTATATAATTATGTACTGATGCATTATAAAATCAGGACAACCCAACACCTGTCCAATTTGAGTTTCTATTCTCCGTCATTGTGAATAAGTAGATCAGACCTTATGTTCAATTACGATATCAGTTCAGACTGGTCTGTTTAAATTCACTATCGCATGAGTAGGAGTGCCCTAAGTAGGTCAATAAATAGAACATCAATGAATTGGCATCTTGTCTTTCAATAATAATAATAATAATAATAATAATAATAATAATAATAATGATGATGGTAATAATAATAATAAAAATAATAATAATAATCATCATAATAATAATAATAATAATTTTGTGACAAGTTACACACTAGGTAAAACCACGTTATACATTAAGAGACTCTACATAGTATTTTTACAAATCAGGACTGGAAGTTGTTTTCGGAGAGTTATGTACAATTGTTAATAGGATTTCATATTTATTTAATAGAAACTAGGAATTATTAATGTTATGTGCATACATGTCTATTTTACTTTATGTGTATTCTGTATTTACAGTTATGACATTATTATTAAAGGGATGAGACTTGCATTCAAATTTCGAATGATAATACATGACTGTATTAATTAGTCTAAAGATTATAGGTTTATACCCAGTGTTAGCTGGCAAATAATAGTATCTTTAATAGAGTTAAAGGAATATTGTAAAGGGTGACTTAGCCTGAATGTTGTGGTTCATTTTCTGTGGTTTATTTTCTGAACTTGTGAGATTTGACAGGTTACATGGTGAGCTGTCCTGAATTGAGGTTAAATTATTTTCCATTACAAGTGATGCCAGAGTCAATGGTACAATTCCACCGGACTGTGCATGTTCTGGTCCTTAAATGGAAAAAAGTGTCCTTAAACTTGGATCTTGCAAAATAATTTATAAAGTCTTAAAAATATCATATTCTGAATTGTTATTTTATTTTTTCTCACATGTGCATAGTTTGAAAAGGACAGCTCCTGTCTTATCTTTTTGTAATGGAGGGACACCGGTCTCAACCTCCAGAACCTGGTGTCGGGTAGAGTCGGGTAGAGTCAGTCCAACTTCAGATTTGACATAGAGTTGATTGTTGCTTGCACTTGAATAAATTTGTGCACTAAATTTTATAGCAGATGATTTGTGCCATATGAAAACCGACAAAGAACAAAAGTATCCGACGCCAAAGAAAACATGAAAATACCACAAAGTGGTTCGTTTGTTGCATTTTCATGCTTTCGCCCAATGCCCCCTGATGCAAAATACAACATGGTACACATCAGTCTCCATAAAATTTCTAACCTTAAAAATGTAAGTTTTATATCTGTTCAAAGAAATACATATTGTACATGTATAAGTACAGTTATGTTCACTTTTAAATTGACCTGATATAAATAATGGTACAACCAATAACTGTCTTAGCCCCTTTTACTAAAAATAATTATACAATATATAAATTGTTATTTCAATTAAGACTATGAATATGTAAGTTTTTCTTTTTCTTATTTGTATTAATTAAGAATTGATCTACCTGCTAATTAAAATATCTAAAAGTATCTATCACGGTTTAGAACTGTTCATTATTTAGGGGAGAACATGTGTAAGCGGCCAGGTAGCTCAATCGCTACAGCCGCGGTACATTATTCTGTGGGTCACAGGTTGGAGTTCTGGTCAAGCTGCATTTTTTTCTCATCCTGTGACTGTATATAACCAATAGTTTAATTCACTATGCTCTGTGAACATCAGAAATTGGAGGACAAATATATATATATAGTATGGAAATATGTTATGGTTTAGAACTGTTCATTATTAAAAAGATAATGTGTAGCCAGCCGCGTCTGACAGTCATGGGTTCAAGTTATGGTCAGGCAGTTTCAGTCAGGGTTTAAAAGTGTTTTTTTCCAACTGACACATGTTTGATTTGTTTAACAGATGGTATTAAATTTAAATGGACAAAGGCAGTATTGTATTTACGATACTTTTATATCTACAAACGGCACTTGATACAGTTGATCACACTATACTCGCATGAAACTTCAATCATCTGCCATAGGAAATGACTTTCTTATATGGTTCAAGTCTTATCTCTGATATCAGCTGGTGGATGTGGCTGGTACTCATTCTACTACTGCTCCAAGTTCCTATGGTGTCCCCCAGGGGGTCATTTTAGGTCCTCTTTAATGTCTTATATTTGTTAAAGATCCTGTAACAAATTTTTTTCTGTTTTAATATAAAAAATATGATGCTCAAATTAAGATTTATCAATATTGTAAGTTCCAATAAGCATTTTTTATAAAGATACATGTAATACCAAATTTAATATTTCATGTAAATAGAGGGAGGTAATTAGAAGTTTGTTTACTATTAATTCTAAGTCAAATTGTCCAATAATAAATTAATGCATATAATTTAATGATTACATTCAATATGTGCAAATATTTGCAGTATATATTTTCCATATTCTTCGATGTTTGAAAATTGTTGTATTAGCATAATAATATACATATATAATTTCACGTAAGAGTGGTATACAACCTCAATTACAAGACATACAGGATCTCTAATGACATGTCTGCAACGCTAAGCAATAAGCTTTTATGATATGATGATGACTCGGGTATCTTTGTATCTGGTAAAATGAATATGAAGAAATTCTCTCTTATGACATGAGTCTTTTAAGTGATTAGTTAATTGACTATAAATTATCTTTGCATCTTGGCAAGACAGAGTCTATTCTTTTGGGTTCAAGTTTCAACTTAAACAGGGCCCTAGCCTCCAGGTCACATGTAATGGTACTGATATAAAGTACACATCTTCTGTTTAGGTGCAAGTCTTGATCAAGTATATTTTGGCGTCGCCTTTGATGCTTTGCATTAATACTATTCTTGTTAATTAATTATCTTAATGTGCATATGTTGTTTAACTCAATGATAATTTGTATAAGAAAATATACTATTGAATTGAAGGCTTACTGACTGACCTTGCTTACTTGACCTTGCTCATGGTAAGATTTTAGGATCGTTGAATGTCCACATTTGTTCGTTTACACTCTAGTTGTCATATTTTTCCTCAATTATCATCAAACATTGCCTTGCTTGTCTAAGTAATTGCTCGGATGAGGTTGAACATGGGTCATCTCGGATGAAAAACTAGGTCAATGGAGCAATAAATAGAAAAATATTGTTTACACTCTTGTGGCTACTGTTTTGATCCAAATATCTTTGAAATTGGTCTGAAAGTTTGTTTTGTTGATGTCTAGGTCAAGTCTGAATATGGGTCACCTTGGATCAAAAACAAGGTCACACCGCCCAAATATGGAATAACCTTGTTAACGCTCTCGTGCTCACATTTTTGAATCTATTGTCATCAGACTTGGTCAGGACGCTTGTTTAGGTAATTGCTCGGACGATTCAGAACATTGGTCATTACGATGAAAAACTAGGTCAAAGGAGCTAAAAATAGAAAAATGTTGTTCACACTCTAGTGGCTACTGTTTTGATTGAAATGTTCTGAAAATTGGTCTGAAACTTTGTTGTGATGATTTCTAGGTCAAGTTTAAATATGGGTCACTAGGGGTTAAAACTAGGTCAACTATCAGGGTGCTTATCTAGGTAATTGCTCGGATGATTTCGATGTGTTAGGTAAGCGATCTAGGGCCACCTTGCACCTTTTTTCAAGTTTTTTTTAGATTAAAGCCACATTTATAAGAGAAAATACCAACATAAGACATTTTTGGAATGGAATGAACAGGAACAACGAAAATGTACAAATGCGATTTATTCTTCCAGGCAGAAAGTCAAAATGAGGTACCCAGAATGAAGTAAAAAATGGCTTGGAATTTAAGAATAAGCCATTTGTCCTGTTACATTTCATAAATAAACTGATACCTTTACTCCTTAATGCAGTTTATTCAATTCAAAACAATATTCCCATTCCTAGCATTTCACATAAAACTTCAATCTATCAACGCAGTGCATATTATTTCATTCTTTCATTGTCAAGTGTATGTTTTTTTAATAAAATTTTATCGGCATCATAATCGAAAACGCATCCATATTATCGACGTTTTACTAGATTTGCAGAATCTTAAGACAAATTATCACGAGGCTTTTGGCTTTACAGTATCCAAATGCGTCGAGTTTAGAACGCGAGAACCAGCATGGCTACAGTCAAAACCGAGCCAAATATTGGGTCTCGCATTCAAAGCGCGACGCAATCTGTAGTCCTCTCTAATGACGTAGTCCAAAGATTCAGATTTTTCTGTACTTGCACACTGTAACAAATTATCCCTTTCATGATATTCTGAAAAGGACTACTAAAATGGTAGCGATCACCTTTCCTCGTGATTTATTTTAAAATGTTTGGGAATTTTAGAATATCATATTTGGATCTTCATATTACAGTCCATAACAATACTTTTCA